AGAAACATTCAAAATTGTTGTAGAGACAGGTTATTTTTTGGAAACAGAAGAGATGAAAAATATGCAACGCGTTCGCCGGGAGTCGAACCACGGACCTCTGGAGTACCGGCTCAGCGTCCAGAACCACTACACCACGAAAGCACGCTAGGAAAGTGGGAGAAATACCTTATACACTCCCCTTTTAAAGGGCGACTGGAGTTATTAGGGGACCCAATCGCCAAATCCTGTGTGTGGTGAGTTATCATCCACAACCCATTTAGTTCGGGCGCCCCTGTAGAGACATTAGGTTAATTGGAAAAGCCGGAGAGATGAAAAATGAACACCCGCCGTCGCCGGGAATCGAACCGCGGACCTCTGGAGTACCGGCCCAGAGTGCAGAACCACTACACCAGGGAGGCACGCTAGGAAAGCCGGAGAAATACCTTATAATGTAAGCAACGATAAATGTCTTTGAATAAATGTTTAGTGAAACCGAGGATCAAAAATCAAAAGGAAATTTTGCAGCCAAGCTATAATATCTTCCTCATCAATTTCCACATACCTTGGTTCACTCTCCTTTCTACAGATACAATGAAATTAAATAAAGGCTTTCTTTGTTTTGCCTGTTTAATACTGTGGTTAGCATTTTTGTATTCTTTAAGGAATTCCGTCGGTATTGTGTTACGAACTTGTGCGCAGAGTACTGTTGTGAAGTTTAAATAAGTAATCATCTGAAATCCAGAAACGAATTTATCTATTTTACTTTGACTCTTATGGGGAAATTTGTTTTGGTTTACGAACATTTTGGTTACGTTATTTATTCTCAAGTTTCCTCCCAACTGGAATGTTTCTATTAAAAGTTTAAAAGTTTTCATAAGTTATTTATTTTTAGTTTAAATTAAATTATTTAATGATTTATTAAGCATGTTAGATTATCTGAAATAAATGTCAGTTTGAAAATTTAATACTTAGCTATAAAGATATTTTAATAACAAATTATAATTAAAAACAAAATGTAAGACACCAAACTTTAGATTTCAGGTAGAAAATAAATAAAACTTTTAAATATTTTCCCTTAGGATATTATTATAATTGTTAATATGTGTTCTGATAAATATTTAATAAGCAAAATTTAAAATTTATTAAAAATATTTTTATTTTGCTAATAAAAAAATTTCTTTTTCCTTAAAAAAATCTGACCAGTCAGCACTTTTCAGATCGTGCATTTGGCTAGCATGCAATCTGAGTTTGAGACTATTGCTCTGAGCTATTATGTAAGTTTTTAAGAGTGACAGCGAACATTTCCGTGGACGTGCATGGACTTGCATTTATTTCTCTGAAACTGTATAGACGATTTTGTGTTTTGCCCACACATCTGGCCACAGGACTTCGATAGACATATATATAGAGAGAGAGAGAGAAAGAGAGAGAGAGAGAATATTCATGATGATACTCTTCATATTTAATCTTATCTGAGAATTTTTGCAGGATTAAATAGTTAATTGATTATCGCAGAGCATGCGATGAGTGTCTGTCTTAGGAGGAATGCTTTTGTGAAAAACCTTCTGAAGGGCGTCGGTTCCTATTCATGTAATACACGAGAAACCATACATCCAGGAAATGTTCTCTAGGAAATATGATTGCGAGAAAAGAGTTTTTATTTACTGGTATTATCCACTAAGTCTCTGGTGGGCAATTTTGCTTCGATGTTTTGTACCACACTATTAAAAAAATATAAACAATGGCAAACATGACAAATACACAATTATGTAATTTAAGCACATTTTAAGGCCATATTAGCTGTAATTTTAATTTCAATCTCACAGTAACTTTGGTAGCAAATTGGTAGCAAATGATGTGAATTAAAAACAGATTCTAATTGATGTCGTAGAATAACCTAAAAGTTTTTAACTTATTCAATTTAATTTTAAAAACAAAAATGACTATAATACTCGACAGTGAAAAATCCACCTAAAATTGTAGGGTTTTCGTATTTTGCATAACAAATTTATTTTCAGTTTTCCTGTTCTCAACTTCTCAATTTCCCCCTCACTTCTCTCACCAGGATGTAAATTTAAAGTGAAGTGCTATTTAAACGTGTGATTATCTCAGTTTATTCAGAGTGTGTTTCGCTAGCATAGCGCACGTTTCGTTGTTATTTCGCGGTCACTCTAGTAAACCTCATGGCCTTATTTGTTTTGTATCACGCCGGTTAGCTTTCTGTGAGTCCATCGCTTAGGAGTAATTTTGAAGTGCGTTCTTGCATCGTTTATTTTTCAGATTTCATTTGTATTCTAGTGTACGTTTAGTTATAGCCGCAAGTGAACGGTGTTTTGTAACGCAAGGGTTATTTTGCACTCTTCTTCTGTGTTGATATTTAATTCACGCCTGTGCGAGAATTCGTCAGGTTCATTGTAGGACCTAAGTTAGTGTATGTGGAAAAATAGAGATAAGTCTTACAAAGTAACCATCTTTTCCACCTAAAATAAAAGCCATAAAAGTATAAAAGAAACCAAAATGAGTTAAAATATATTTTCGATATTTAACAATTATTCGTAATGTTAACATATGTTTATAGTTAATGTATAGCCCATGCGATCACGGCTCATTGGGGGGGGGTATAGGATGGAATCACATTTCGAAATCATACATCCAGGAGTTCAAACGCATGTTATAAAATGAACTGAATATACGGAACAAGTTTTTTACAAGGTGCAAAAAATATAAAGAAGTTCTATATTTGCAAAGATAAATAAAAATATAGGTAAAGCAAATTCTAAATACCTAAATGAAAAACACGCAAAAATCTAACAGCATCAACAGACAGAATCAAAAATATTTTAATGGAAGGAGTATGAGCAAAAAGCGTAAAATTTTAATGGAGAGCGGAAAATTTAAAATATAGAAAACCTGAAACTAAATTTAGCAGAGAATACAGCATGCAACAATTTTTTTTCTGATAAATTCTTAAAAGAAGTGCTTTCCATGAAAACATTACTCTTCCTAAAAGCCTAAACATAAGTGCATAATACTTTTTTTTTCATAAAAGCCTAAACATAAGTGAATAACATGTTTTTTAGAGAAAAGTTTGTTTCTGGGACTAAGACCAGTAATAACAACGCACTCATGAGTTAAGTTTTGAATTCCAAGTTAAGAATTAGATATTTATGACTAAGTGTACGAAGCATGTAAATCTCTCGATTATGAAAATAATCACTTACAGTTAACGACAGAAAATTATATTAAGAGATTATCGGATGTCATTTTCGAGTACAATCTAATTAAGCTATACTAAAGCGGGGTATATTAATTGTGGGGAGTTGGAAAAACTCGTACCATCATCTATAAGATTCTCAAGATCACAGGCACTATTCTCTTTCTCTTGACCACGATCAGTTCATCGCGTTGAAGAAAAAGAGGTAATGTTTAGATCAGAAGATTAGTAACAATAACAAAATTATTAACTCTTTGCTATCGGATGTACAGAGAAGTTAACAAAGTTATTACTGTTTTGCAATTGGCTTAGTGCAGATGGAACCCGTTCCCAAAACGGCCTTAATAGTTTTGTTCCCAACTGAACCTTAGAGGGAAATTTTATTCCCAACTGAGACCAGTCGGAAAATATTCCATCGTTTCATTTGTAACACAGACTGTGTCTTTTAAGTATGGACGTGAAAATTATTTATAATAAGTAAATCTACCCAAAAAAAAATGTCTTTTCTTAAACATAAGTATGCTGAAAATGATATTTACAAATATTTCGCAAGGTCAGGAAATTTCTAGATAAAATACTCAAGAGACCAAGGCATAACCAGTAAGTCAAAAATCAAATAGTGCATGTAAAAGGTTATGAAAATGAAGAGTTAAAATGAATGGCCTATTCATACATTATAAAAAAACAAAAGATAACTTTTTTGTTATTGTTTGCACGATCACGTTTAAAATGACTGACGAAATCAGCATAAATATGATAAAATGAAACATAATCTATATAAAAGTCAACAGAACAAATTTTTTAGAAATAGAAGGAATGGTTTAGTTTAAATGAATATGGCAAAGCACGTGATTACATCTGCGTAAAGTAAGGGATGATTTCGTAGAGGACTTTCTAGGAAAAACTAGCTCGTATAAATGTTGCACATGAAGAAACACACTAAACAGAAAATGAAGGAAATTATAAAACACAATAAAAATTTTATAACTAAAAATAAATTATTTTTGTCTTATATGCTTACGTGTTTATTTAATTTTTTACAGCAAAACATACGAGAGGCATTTTCCTAGAAGAAAGAAGTTTTAAGGGAAACTAGCTGATATAAATATTAAACATAATAAAACAAGGAAAATGCCCATGGAGTCAACCCAAAAGTGGAGATCAGCAAATTTATGTATTTGTTTTTAAAGATACTTTATGAGCAAGAATATTGTCGAAGTATATATATATATATTGCGAGTAATAAGGTGCCAAATATAAGAATATCAAATTTCATGCGCGAAAACAGCATGTTTACATTTACACGTAAAAATACTTTTAACCTTTTCCTTTTCTTATTTTAAAACTGTGTCTTTATAGGGTCCGCAAATATCACATTGTGATTTTAGAAGAATACCTAAATAACATATGTAATAAATTATCCTTAATTTCCTGTTTTATTATTTAACACACACAAACATATATTCTTTTATTCCTTTTTTCAAAAATAAAATTTAATCACAAAATGTTCTTTTTCGTTCTTACTTTTTTTTTTTTTTCAAAACACTTTATTAATACATAAGTATTAACAAACTGTTAGATAAATAATAATTTTTAAATAAATTAAATTTATGTAAAATTATGTGTATTATTTTATGAATCAAAAAGTACTTTTTCTTGTGTGGGGGGAAGGGGAGGAATTAAAATTGCCCTGCCAATTCATGCTCAGTAGAATGTAAAAATGATTAAGTTTTTGGCTAAAATATCCTAATTAAGGAATTTATGATTGATTAATTCATTTAATGCAAAAATATTATTTTATACTCACTTACCAAAAGTTTTGTTTCCGAACGAATCACATAGCGATAAATGTATCTAAAAAATTTCCATAGACAAAAGATAAGCCACCGATTTACAGTTAGTTGACTAAGGCGAAAAATGCTTTTAGTTCCAGTCACTAAGAAAGGGATGTGGTTGGAAACTTCGTTAACTAGTGGCACCCGCACGCCAGCGCAGAATGTATTATAGGATCATTCGCCTCTAGCAAGCCCATCCCCCTAGTGGTGATTTTCGAATGTGTTGGCGGCAGGTTGCAACTGTCACCGTCGTCTCTCTTGAATAATGGTAATCGGAAAAATCGGTTTTTCGCAAACATTTCTCAAAATGAGTTACTTGCAATATTGCTTGACCGCGGCGCTGCTGAATTTTGCACAGAAGCACATTATATTGTCGTTTATTGAAATTATTTTAATAAAACTTGGAAATTGAGGTTTAAAACTATGTAATTGAAATATGATTAAGATGTCGTTTAGGTCTTTAAAAAGGTCAATAGTTATCAGCCCAGTTATGGGCAAGGTGTATTTTGCCAATACAAACTAAATTTTTACTATGACGTTTAAAGGAAATGAGGTTAATAAGCGTTTAATTTATAAATTATAATCTATTTCCAATTAACTGGAGTAAAACTGAAGATGTTCGTATTTAATTAAAAATCACGTTGATACTAGGGTATTAAAAATACAGCACAAGAAAGTAATAAAGATTTTGAAAGAACTCAAATTTTAAAGGATTTTAAATCACATAGGTGTGTGTGTATATATATTTATAATGTTGAATGATCTAAAATTCAGTTCGAACCTAATTTAGTAAATATATAAAATATATATAAATATATATATCTTGCATACATATATATATATATACATATATATACGTTGCATATATATAAATATATATACGTTGCATATATATCATATATATATTGCATATATATATATATATATACACTATGTTGTCAGAAGTCGTTACTCGGTCTTCATATGTGCAATCGTTGGTCCAAGACATAGACTTCCATTTAGAAAAATGTTTTAAATGATGCCAGAATTCAGATTTGGGCATTTTAAACTTAAAAACATTAGTTTTGTAAATATAACAAAACCTAGCTTTTTATAAGTTTCATCGTTTCCTATGCTTATGTTAGGAAATTTTTATACTCGTTATAAAAAAAAATCACAAACAATTTAACTCTCATAAGACAAAAACTGACCCATCTTGCTTTGACCAGCCGTTAGCAAATAAGTTATAATAAATCAAGGTAGATTTCCCTCTCTTAAATGACATTCTATGATACTGTTAAGTGATATTCTCGTGTCTTTAATTTATAATTTTGATATATATGGTATGCCGAATTTCACACAAACAATTTATAAATTTTAAATCTGTTATGTTAAGTCTAAAAATCTGTTATTCTCATGAAATTTTATTTCTTTAGAAGTACAAAAATGCATTGAAGTACAAATATTTTCTCTTTTTAATTAATGCAAATAATATTACGATTGGTTACATGATAATACTGAAGCTTTCATGCATAAAGAATTCCGCACCTGTGAATAATAACACCGTTTTGAAAAAAAAAATATTATGACATCTGCATTAAACTTGAACTACTTCTGTATAACAAAATCTCCTTACAGCTAGCTAGCTGTAAGTGAGTTTTAAAGGTATCAAAAGTATCCCTTATCATGCATTTTGGTGAAGGGAATGCAATGCAATATTCATTCAAACAGAAACAATGAATAAAATCAAATTAGCTTTTTTAGGTCTCTATTTGAGGTCTTAAGTTAACTATTACGAGGTAAAGGTCCAATTGATCTGACATCAGTGTAAAAAATAATTAATCTTGATGATTTCACAATTCAGTTTACTTTAATAATAACCATAATTTTCTAGAGATATAACGCGCTCAGAATTTGAATTGCAGCTTCTTGCAGCAGCTTCATTGGACAGTTATTCTGCTGGATTCTCTCACACAGACATAGTTGACCATCAACCAACTGTGAATCTTGCTTATTTAGAGCTTATTTTCTTTTCTTCGCTTTCTTTTTTCTATTTTTTTTTTCTTTATTTAAATAAGACTCACTTATAAACCCAGTGCTTGCCACATAAAATTTGGATGAACTTTCTTAAACGAACGAGTTGAACTAATAAAAGACAGTAAAGAACCAAATTAAAATAAATTGTTGGTTAAACTAAAATTAAATTATCACAACACTGATTAATACTTTTTGCAATAATTAATATCAAGTAATATCTTAAAATCAGAAACCTATTACTAAACAAAATCTACGTTTAGCTACGTACAAATGGAACCTCTTCCATTTGTGTACGGCCTCTGAATATGATTCTCAGTTTTAATACCAAATACCTTGATCAATTTGTTTTGTCAAATTTCAAACATTTTGTATTCTATTCTTTACAATGAGCTCAAAAATTTTCTAAATACAAGTATAGGGACGAAAAGAACATGTAAAAATGTTGACTAGAAGGTTTTTTATTTTTCTTGACAGAGCTCGTCTGGCAGATATTGTCTCCTATTCTAAGCATTTTTCTTTCAGTTTTTTTGTTTCAATTGATAAATATTTTTAAACTTACAGTTTGTGACAGCAATATTTTCATTGCTCTGCAAGAAACGAGCTTTACTTTTGTTTTCAAGACAGGGCCCTCCAAATTAGCAAACTGCAAAAAACTTATGAGTCGAAAACAAGAACCATATGCTGCTAGTAAGAGATAAAAATGTTTACAATCATTCACATAGAAATGTATGTATTTTTCTTCTATGCGTCAAAGAAACACATAAAAAGAATGATTTGGCACTATTTATTCTCAAGTTTGATCCCACTTGAAATATTTGTTTTTTAGTAATTAAATCAAGATATTAGAATTATTTGAAATAAATATCAGTCTAAAATTTAACTACCAGTACTTTGGACCTTTAAATTTTAATCAAAAGAATTTCTTCCTAATCACAGACTTTACATTTCAAACAGAAAATAAATACAAATTGGACTTTTTGTGCATTATTATTACCGTTTATACATATTTTGATAATATTTAGTAAATAAAATAAAAAATTTAATTAAAAATTTGTTTTACTAAAAAAAAGTTTCAGTTTGGGAAAAAAAAAAAAAAAAAAAAATCAGAAAGTTTTCAGATTTTATATTACGCCCCAAAGCGGCGTTTTTCTAACGTTTTATGTGTTACCTTTATTTATTAAATATCATCTTCTTCGCACTTAAACAAAAAAATTCAATCTAACAGTAACATCGCGAAAATATTTAAAAGAGCATATCTTTAGAATTAGCATATCTTTACCCGATACACAGTCTCGCGCACCGGGGATAAAAATGTTTTTCTCCCGTACAGTGTTGCTTTGAAACCGTCGAGTCTCTTTCAAAAACTAATAGATAACAAAACAAATTCCAAATTCCAAATTTGGGCTTCCAGATGCCCATATTCGGGTGGAGACATTCGTATTCAAAATTTGATGATTCTAGGTACCGTTGTTTTATCACAATGCGAGAAACATACATACATTTATGACAGTGGTGCCCAACCTTTGGCCTCTTGCGAGCGCAATTTGAGCATTCGAGAGCACGTTTTCAAAACATCAACATTTTTGTTAAACATATTTCCAATCTTATATGATACATCTGAAATATTAATTTCGGCAAATGGGTTTGAGATGAAATAATAATATTGGTTGAACTTTATGGAAATCAAAGAAGCGGAGTTCAAAATTATTTTTCAGTGCATTTAGGTTTTCCGAGCATTTCTCTGTTTCAATTGCCTTGTGGTTTTTAATATGGCTTGATAAATTCTGAAAATGAGTGAAATTATTTTCTTTCATCTCATTTATCCACAAATTTAACTTTATCTGAAAAGCAGTTACAGTCCCAGTCAATTGAAAAAGGATTTTTTCTTTTCCCTGCAGATCTTCTTTCAGTTTTTTCAGTTTAGCTGTTATATCCGTGAGAGAATACGAATCGGATAACTAATTATTATCGTCCAATTCTTTACAACTTTCGTTTCCGGATTCCAAAAACTACTTTATTGGCTAAAGAAGTTCTGCAAATCGTTGAAGTACTTTTCCCCTGCTGAGCCATCTAACATCGGAATGAAGCAATAAGATTCCATGTTCGCTATCAAGTTCATGAGTCAGCAATCAACGTCTTGCAAGATATCTCTTATCACTATAAATGCTTACCATACTTTAACAATTAAGAAATATAAATGATTGGTTATTTTAAAAATATTTTTTGTTCATAGTGCCTAATCGGGCTGGCGAGCACAAGGTTGGGCACCGCTGATTTATGCAGACTCTTCATTATTTAATTTCTTTAAATGTAATACAGGGAGGTAAAATTTGGTGGCAACAATTTAAAAAGTGGTTCTCTAATTATAGTGAACCGACGCAAAATGCCAAAACGAAATTAATAGCCCTTCTGAGCTAACGCTCCTTTCGGCTAAAAAAAAATCAGTCTGTCAGCTGCTTGCATTCGGTCCGCGTACTATTTGTGACCAATGGATTAACAGACCAAGCCTGTATGTTAACTTTGTTGCATGCTTACGCTAATACTGGGAAGTCAGTTTTACAGGTGTTGACTGTTCCAAATCTGGATTCAAAAGAAGTAGCGAATTAATTATGGAATGATTAAGATAAAAAATATCAAAATTAATGCAATTAAATTAACTATGTAAGGTAAAGAAGAAATAAATATTATTTTTCAATCAAATATAAAATTCATGCATTGCAAACCAGAAAAATTACAGAAATACATAAAATTTCAAAACATTTTCATTAAAAATTGTAGAATAGAGTATAACATAAAATACGAAACAGAAACTAAAATTAGACTTTAAATTAATTAAAATTACGCAGAAAGACAAAATTTTTGGTACGCAAAACTTTCGACTCCACTGGGCAAAATGATACTGAAGTTTAGGCTTAGTGGAACTTAAACAACTTTTAAATTCTTGACAATTCTGTAACTATTCCATGCAAATTAATTTAAGGCATAGAAACCTTAACCGGAACATAAGAACGATCACTTTTGAAGTACAAAATCCATAATTTATCAACATAATAAGAAAAAAAAATCCTAGCTCACCGAGGCGGGTAACAGAGTTGGTATATAGATAC